AGCTTGGCGCACAACGCAAGCAGCGTGTTCCGCTGCGAAGCCTCCCTCGGTGGCGCGGAGACGCTCCGGTGCGCGAGGCAGCAGGGCGAGCGTACCACGGCGGCCGACGCACTCGATGCGAGGACAAAAAACCCGAAACAAACCGCCCCACCTCCAGGGGTCTGTAAATCACAGGGACGCTGACTTACGTTGACCTGCGTCTCCAGACATCCGCGTCGCCGTAATTCTGCCGCTCCACTGGAGATCCACAAACTCGTACGAAGCAGCAGTCCCGCTGTAAAGAGCAATTCATCAATAAAACCCAATTTTGTGACATCCTGAAATCACACAACAGAACAGCACCTCTCGGAAAAGTTTCACGGTTCAAGTGAGAGACACAGAGCAACACAAGAAACAGAACTGGATTCACAGCTCCAAGTTTTGAGTCCAGTTAGCAGAATGAGATCCTTTCCAGGCCTTCCTTTATTTGGGATACCTTTACTTTTTATTTTCGGAAGCAAAACTTCTCATCTGTATCACAGTGGGGCAGTATTACCTTTCATTGATATTTTATGCACTTTCTGAGGTCCCTGCTGCTACTTTATTTCCCCTTTCTGGCAAGAAACCCACAAAGTTCTCTGAAAAGCATTTCTGGCAAAGAAACTGCAGAGTCAGCCACCAAGCTCAAAACAATTTAAGTACACTGGATAGGAAAGTCACAGACAAACAGATAAACCTGAGAATGCAACTGAAAAATTACTGGGTGAGTGTTCAGTGTCAGACCGATCCAATACTCACTCAATGGTTTTACAGGATGAAGAGAGAAAAAGCTAATTAAATTAATCTGATTTACTAGAAAATACTAAGCTTACAGATGATACAATGTCTGCGTAATTTTAGAAAAATCATTGATTTCATGGTTTATTTTACAATAATTGGATTAGTCTACAAGTTAAGGCAAACATACTAATGCATTTGCTTTTCTTTTTAAATCATAGTTATAAAGGTTACACAAAGTTCTCCAAAATTTCTAAGAAATGTTCACAATTGAAAAAAAGATTAAGTTTCTTGATATCAGTACATGGAAAAAAAACTAAGACAGTATACAATGCCATTATAGTAACAATATTCAAATATCTAATGGTAATATTTAGGCCATTTGAACAATGTGCTTCAAATGGTGAACTTCAGAAATTACTTACAAAGGTAAATAAGATTGGCAGCCGTATCATAGTATTCATAACATGAACATAATTATATTGGCTATTTTCACAAAAAACAGAGCATTTGGTTTCTGAACAATGAAAGCATATAATGATTAAATAAACATGAATATGTACGTATAACAAGTATGCTGTTGCTTCATATAGTCTGGAGCTACTTTCAGGTGTTTGTTTTAATTCTTCTGAAAGATGGAGCTTGCTCATGTGCACTTTGTCAAATGTTTTCTCCAGGGAACTGTAAATGCCTATTTAAAGTCATGAAAACAAAATCCAGAGGAGGGCAGCCCTTGTCAGTGGGAGGACGGAGCGTAGCTTATGTGTCACCATTTAACACTGCCAGGCAGCTCTGCAGCAGCTGCAAGTTACCCTGTAAAAATAAAGAAAAATATGACCGCATTTCGCTACTTTCTTTTACACTTGTGACAAAAAAAGATGTTTTTTCACTAGCAATGACAGCACTAAAGGAGGATGGGTATTAAGCTTACATAGAAATATTTCTGTACATAACTTTTAAAGAGTTTTTTTGAATGTCGAAGCATTGTGTCATCGAAGTAAATGGAGCCAATTTGCGATTCAAAAATAAGCATTTAGTACCCTTCCCATGTTCCGTCCCAAATTTCTTACTAAAGATCTAGTCTGGCCCCAAAAACTATTTGCTGCAGAACACTCTCTTAGCAATTAAGTTCAAAGTTACAAAGTTTTAATTTTTTATATAGTATTGCCATTACTCTGTCACTGGAATATTATTCCCAAAGCAGAAGAATTCATATATCATACTGAATCATCAAAAAGTGTTGACCAATTCACAGCATTCAATATCTCCTCACTATAGCAGCCCCTAAACTCCTAGCTCTGTTGGGAGGACAGGCCCTGTTTGAGATTTACATGATTTACATGCTTAGCCAGGTGATCTGGCCATCAAAATTGCGTTTAGCAGTTAGAACTGGAGCTACAGAAGTGATTATCAGAACATTAACTAAGCTTTATCTCTAAGGCGAATTTCTGCCCTTCTTTTGGATCCAAAAACAAACCTGTAAGAAAAACATCAAAATACAAAAGCATGTAATTAAACAGTCCTTGATAAACAGTCCACACAAGTACTAAATAATTTTTTCAGCTGAAAGCATTCCAAGTGACCTGTGGTAGACAGGCAGACGGACACTTGTCCCTCAGCCCCAAAAGGTGAGAAATATTAATTCTACACACACACACACACACACACGTTAAGGTTCTTATAATCCAGATTAAGGAATTAATTAAATTAAAGGCTTCAAAGTAGAAGATTCCCAGTTGTGTCTACTGAATCATTTTCAGCCTTCTCCAGAAGACAGCGATTTCAGTTACGGCTTCAACAGCTTCTTGTCCTTTTATGCCTGTACTGACAAAGGACAGTCACAAGCTACTTAAAAGGCTTGTAATTCTGTGATATGAACAAGTTCAATATACATGAGATGCATAGGGATTTGGTGGCTCATCTTTCTAGTGTACAGGATTCATAAATATAAGGTCTCTGTTACTGAACAGCTGATTGTTAGCTGTAACGAAGCAACGAATGAAAAGGAATACTTCAGTGTGAAGTCTTCAGTCTTCAAACAGAATATTTCAGTCCAAAGTATAATTAGGGACTGCATGCATGTTACTTATAACAGAAGTGTGATAGTGCTCTTTTGGCTGTCTCGTCACAGCCCATCAGCAGCATGAAGTATATTTGGAATTCACAGGCCACTATGTAGCACTCTAAAGAAAAGATGGTACCAAGATACCCTATACACATCCGTCATTTCCAGACTCAGCCAGCCAGACTACTGAAGTTTTCCAAATAGGAAAATCATTCATTTTCATTAGATAAAATTTACAAAGTTCACAAGAACAACCTTATTTAATTATAAATCAAGGGCAATAAAGGCTGCGAGCCATTACTCTTTCTGGCTGCAACATCTGACGTACTTGATGCACATGAGCATAGCTTGAGAAAGTCCTATAAATTCAGATTCAGAAAAGTGTTTCTTGCCAACTCAGACTACTAAGCTCTACATATTATAGTTACTGGCAGAACCATGGTGACAGAAACATCCTTTTCAGGAAAGAAAGAATTACTGACAAAGCATTTAACCAAATCCCTTAGCATTGGATTTTGCTTACTCGCTTCGTCTGTCAGTTCCAAACAGACATCTGTTGCTAGTAATGCAACAAATCCTTTTTCCACAAAAGCCCACAGACGCAAGAGCATATATATTAGTATTTGTGGAAAGAGATGTTTAGATTTTTTAATTTGAAGGAAATAGCTATCTTAGTTACAATTCGTACGTTAAAAGACTCTAGAAGTATAGCCAAGGCCATGAATGCTTTAAGTATATGATTATAACTTCAGCAGTTTCACCAGCTATCAAACCTCCCTTCATGAACATGACGTCCAACACAGGAACGCCTCAAAATTCAATGGTTTATAATACTGAATAGGTTTAAATGCAGCTTTTGCACTGAACGCCCAAACACTTAATCAGGTCTTACATTAGCTACAGCTGCATGAAGTCATCAAGAAACACAGAGCTAGCAAAACAGAAGCTAAACACTACCTAGAGGGACAGTCAGACAGAATGGCCATAGCAAAAGCAACATCCATCTGTTTAGTATAGGTCAGAGACCAAACAGAACCTAAAGCTGCAGTTTGGCAGCTATTCTGAGTAGATCTAGGGCACATGCTGATGATAAGAAGGCAGCACGCTCTTACTCCCAGCCCCTCCTAGCCACAACTATGTGTTTTGACCCAAGGGATGCTGTGAAAACAAGACTGAAAGTAAAGCTTAGAAAAACCCTGAGCAAATTATAGCTCCACCTTACTGTGCAGCTGCACACATAATAGTGCCAATATAAGGGAAAGGAACAGAGCCATGTCATGCATCATCATCCTTCCTGGCAGTAGTGAGCACTTGCATCAACGTAAAGCAATCTCAACCCACAGTCTGACTTTTAGCTTTTTCAAAAGTCTTGAGATGCAGCCAGGAAAGGTCAAGAGGATATTAGCACATTAAAACAAGTATTTTATAAGGAAGTAGTATAAACATAAATGGGCAGAGAGAGAGTGCACTTAGTATTTGTATATACAGTGTTCTTGATTTACTAAAAGCTTGATTTCCCTATCACCCTCCAGTCTTCTAGAGCCACGCAGCCAGATACACTTCAGGAAATGCGAGCCCTCTCTCAGAACCTTCTCTCAATACTTTAGCCATTCTGACTTCTTTCGTGCGGCGATCTCTGTGTTTTAGGATTTGTGTTCTTCTTTCCACACAGAGCAAGTAACTTTTAACAGTACGTCATGCAGCAGCCTGCAGTTTGCCTGAATTTGTCCCACAGACAGCCTCTCAGGTGAGCTCCAGCACCCACTACTTAATCAGATTTCACCTCCGTGCTTTCTGTGCCAGGCAACTCCAAGTCCAGAAGCCACCTGGCTAGACTGATTCAGGGGCAGATGTACCTGCATGACATCTAGTCTGGAGGTACTCATCCCAGGGGGAAAAAAAAAAAAAAAATCACAATAAAAGACTTGTAGCAAAAGCCTGCACCAGTATTATCTGTTGCCCCTAGCCCCCTCACTCCACTCAAGAGTACACAGACCTGAGTAACAGGTCATGTTGCCAAGTCTGGGAGTGCTGTGCTCCACAGAGCATCACCAAGCCAAGCAATTCCGTTTGGGGCTGCTAAAACTTCACCTGCCTCCAGCCAAACCTCCCCCTGCCTCCAGTAGCTGCAAAAACATTAAGGCAGGGACTGCCACAGCATCAACAAAGTATTTCATCCAGAACCTTAAAGCAGGGGGCTTTTCACCTGACTTCATTTATTTATTGCCTACATGAAAAAGCGGCTTGCTTTCTGCTTCTACCAGCTCGCTCTCTTTCGGCTCAAGTGCAAGAGGAAGTAGGTGTCGACAAACACCCCAGCTTAGTCCAGCCAAAACCAGGGCTACTCCGGCCCCCTGAAATGGGGGAATTGTTCATCATTTACACTGCCAACAAGTATAAAAATGTCCTCTCTGTGGGACAAGGAGAAACCTTCATATTCCCCTGACATTGCTCTTCACACATCAGGGCACAATGCCGTCTCAAAAACACCCGAAGTCTTTTCATATCATCTTTCTTCCTTTTATGGAACTACCTCAGAAAGTTTCCACCAAACCGTTTCATCCTTCAGTACTCTGTACAGACTAATAAAAACCTATCCATAAGACTATCCTCAAATACACTGATTATAGCATTAACAAGAAAATTTCCCATTATATAAAACAGAAAGATATGATCTACTGCACTTGTACATTCTTTAATAATCCAACTCAGAATCTGTAGAAATAAAAGCACAGCAACCAAACTGGTCCATCTTTAGTAGCTTGTTTTGAATAAATATGAAACACAGACTTTGAAAACAACAGAACTTTCAAACCTAGTAAGAAAGAACATATCCTTTCATTCAAAAAGTCACAACATTTGTTAACATTTCCAAAACTGTCAACCTTAGTCAAAATGACCTTTTAAATTGTAAAGTTTCAAATATTCAAAACTGTCTAGTGAATCTTGCAGCGCTCCATGATAAAGTAGGTGAAAAGGGTCAGCAAAAAAACCCCTTCCCCTTCAAAAAGAGGACTACAGTTCAAAGCGCCCATTACAGCCTTATGCACTTCTTCCTAGTAAATCTACTACGACAAGGTAAGTCACAGACTGCAACAGACTATCTGAAGAACTAAGTCTTAAACACAAGCTGTGGTGACAAATGAAGAACTGCTAAAAAAATTCAAGCTCTTCCAGGAAAACTGACAACAGCAAGAAGCACGTATCAAGTACGTTGAAAGCTACAGAAATTAAGCATTTTCGCCCTGCCTTCTGCAGTTATTAGCTGTCAAAATTCAAGAGGATATTACTACAAGATTTTGACTTGCACAGAAAGTTAACAGAAGTCATTCTTTAAGGACACTTTCGAAGATAAGAGAAATTTTTTAAGCATTCCACTCCAAGGCATGTGGAGACTTCAGCAAGAGTCAGTTACAAGACATGTCGAAGAGTCAATGGCTGAAGCAGGACAGAAGCACTGTGGATTCATTCCCTTACTACAGCATGATATGGCAAATCAATAAACACTGTTCCAAGTACAACTGTTAGGACTGTTAATTTCACTAAACCCCGTAACTAGTACATTCATGACCAAACATGGGGATTTCTGTGAGACTCAGGACTGGATATAGACAGCTGTTACACAGAGAGAAGTACGAAGGCTGAATAGTGCTGAGTATTATGAGAAGTTTTAAGACTTTAGGGAAAATACAGCTGAATTTCTGACATAGCATATTAAAGTATGCACTGTTCATCTGACAAAGCAGTCTAGTATTCCAGACTTTACCAATTACTTTACCAGCCCATCAAGCTGAACTTCTACCTACAAAGATTATTTAAAAAAAAAAAAAAAATCCCCAAAACAACCCATTTTACAGTGCATTAGTTTTACAAAGCATGAGTTTGGCAGAATGAAGAAGAGACACCATCAACACTACTGAAAAGAGTGTAAAGCAGCAACAATTTAACTCAGCAATACTATACACCTCTCAACCAGTCCTTTCAACAGATATATTCTGAGCTAATTCAAAGCTTGGTAGTCAGCGCACTTTCAGATTTGTGATGAGAAATGCTGAAGAGTTGACTTAAAAGACAGCCATGTCCTGCTATAGGACTTGTTACATAGGAGACTGTTATACATGTCTATGAAATCACAGTAGCTAACCTGATTTAACCAAAGATATTAATTTCATGTGGATTAAAATAATCAAATACACTGTGAAATTTAAGCATAGTACAGGCCCCTTAAAGTTTTATTCCTGCAAAAAGTTATTTTACTGAGAGGCTATCTGCAACTCATCTGTTGTTAGCACTCTACAGCTTAAAGGCAAAAAGATTCAAAAAGCATACTCAGAATAATGCTACTCTGACTTCAGACAGGCCTATGTGATCTCTTGCTTAGTAGATAGCCTGTCCTATACATCAGGTCCCCAAGATCTGGATAACAGGAGAAACCACTTCCTATCTCACAGTAAAATGGTGAGATGAGGTTTTAAAAATAGGCAGGTATTCAAACTGTGCAGCTATGAATATCAAACAGCTACAGAAACATAAAAGTGAAGCCAAAATTGTCTTCAAGGAGATGAGTTTTCCAAAGGCACCTCAAGCATACCGGTCCCTCACAGTATTTCACCTGTACTTTCCCTGCCCCCCACCTCTATTATTCAAGAAAGTTAACCTTGCTGAAGACTGCTTACCTTCAAATTCGCCTTCCTGGACGCTAAGTGCATATCACACAAAACTAATGTAGACATTTCAGTTATTCAAGCATGTAATATTTAAAATCACTTGAAATACAGGCCAAAAAAGATCACAGTTACCTTAGCATGCTTTAATTCCAGTTCTGCTAGTTCCACCAGATTTTTTCTGAATGCTGCAACTCTTCTTGTCTTAAAGTCTATCAGTTCTACAGAAAATCAAAATGGATTAACTAACAGTATGATTGCTAGTGTCCTCCACTGTTAATAGACTTTCCTTCAGCATGGAAGAGGTAACGGGTGAAAGAAGGCAAAAGGAAAAACTCAAGCTTAATCTCAGCACATTCCAGGCTCAAAGGTACCACTATGCTGCTGGATGAAGGCAAATCGTCATTGCAGTTCCTCATCTCTAGCTAATCTTTTGTGGACACAAAGCTCTCTTGGAAAAAAAAGTCCCTTTGAAAAAAAAAAAAAAAAAAAAAGAAACACTGCAATGTGGATGCTTTTAAACATTTAATTCTCTTATTCCATATGCACTGTTCTTTCAAGGCTGACATATAACAGTTTCTAGGAAAGATACTACGCTAAAACTAGCACAAAGAACAGAGGAAGCAAGTATGCTCTATGGATATACTTTTGTGGCTAATAATATCACTCGTTCTCCACTGTCTCGTAGGAATCATTAGCCAGATTTACAGGGTCAAACAACTCTTAAACGATAAAAACAGAAGAGCATGGTGTTTAAACCTTGAACAAATCTGCCTCAAATAATGAGTCAGATGACTACTAACTCACAACATTAGCCTAAAAAAAAGAGCAAGTTTCCAGGAAATGTAAATAAGGTTCCTCTTCTCCAGAGCTACTGAAACTCTGCAACTTCAGTGAAATCTCATTTCACGATCTCTCCCTTTTCTAATGTAGTATCATCTCTGTGGCAGACTGCTGCCTTCACAGAAGAATGCATAAAACCAAAAGGGGAATTTTGACAATACTTTAAAAGATTAGGTTTGCCTTTACTGCTAGCAATTATCATTTTGTATCCTACCCTATTCACATAAAAAGGGGTTAACAAATAATTTGCACCTAGGCTTTGCTCTGCCTAATGAAGCTATGAGGAACCAACAGAAAATATCATTTGAACTTTCTAAAATAGGTAAATGCTGATAACAAGGTAATAGAGCTGCTTAGGCAACAGAACAAAAATCTATTCTCATTAATTAAATATCCTAAAATCTGTTAATTTTCAAGTAGTAACATAGGATCAAAGACCACTCAAATACCTTGTTTTGCCGATTCAGATATTTTCTCAAATTTCTGACAGCATATTTGCTGAGTAGTTTCAGCTTGCAGCACATCTTTATTTTTTGCTCTTGCTTTATCCAATGCCTTATTAGCATTTTCATAATCCACTAGTGACCTAGATCTTCTATATAGGAGATCCTATTAAAAAAAGTACAAGGGATACATAGAGTTCACAAGAATCTAGCTAAGGATTTTAGTATATGCCAAGTAATAATAATTTTAAAAATTAGATTCATTTTAGTCTTTCTTGATGTATTTCAGCTCTTACTAAATTATTTGCATCCACTTTACTTCATCCTGCAAGACACGGGAATGTCCATACTGGATCAGACATGCAATTTAATATTGTTTGTTCTGCATCTTGTCTGACAGAGGCTAGCACCGGATGGCTTGGATGATACTCCAAAAAGCCTACAAAGGGGCAATCATGGGAAATTTCACAGTTTATTAAATCAGAAACAAACTATATTTAGATTATATATTTGAAATGCACACAGGGCCCAAAAACGGCAGTAGCGTGTTTTTGTGCAACAGTTATTGCTGTGATCTTCTAATGACAGACATTTTCTGTCAAATGCTTCCTCCTTCTGTCATGTCACTTAATCATCTTACATCAAACAACACTAAGAATGAAATTTTCAGTAGGTATAATCAAATTTGGCCCATGTTTTTGTATCAGCACTTGCACAGCATCTGGAGTATCCATTTTTAATATTAACAAAAAAGTAGAATTGCTTGCAGTCTGGCAGTAGCAAACACACTGCAGACACATGAACAATTTATCAACAGCTCTTCCACTGTTTTTAATTATACTGCACGATTTGGCCTTGGTAAGTGGATCACACAGTTCCAAATCGTCAGTCCCATGGTCAGCAATTGCATCGTTACTCCTTACATACAACAGAAATCCATTTTTTTTTTTACATTTCACTGAACAAAAAGCCATACATTCACCTTAGCAGCTTGAGATTCCCTTAGGTAGTATTTCAGAAGATCAGAAAGTTTAAGATCTTCATCAGCAGATACCCGGGCCTCTATTTTCTAGAAAAACAGTAAATAAAAGCATCAACTGAAAAACATCCCGACTCTGGGTATTCACTTGTAACTACAACATAAAATATATAACAGTACATGACAGATTGTCTTTTTCAAAAACTAAGATCATGCATTTGTCACAAAATAAAGACATATCATGAGAAGCAGTATTAGGATTTTGTATTAAAATGCAAGCAATAACCTAGTGTGCAAGCAGTAACTGACAACTTTCTATTTTAAGCAATGCTTTCTTCCCAATTTCAATTATATGTATCATATGCTAGAGGAACAGCAGAGAAACAAAAACTTCTCTAGTATAAAGTATTGCACAAGAAGTTCTTCTGTGTTGTTTTTGAGATCAAAGGAAAACATTTTTAACGTATCTTTGCAGATTAGTTGTGTAACTGCATGTGTTAAGTTTATTGGTCTTGTGGACCATGTATTTGTTCGCATTTGAAATAGACATTTCTGTGAATTTAGACACAGAGTCTGCAAGTGCATTTTTAAAATCTTAATTTAAAAAAAAATTCTAAAAGGCAACATTTTAGGTCAAAGCAAGTAATTCAATTAACTTCATTTTCTCTAAAGGTACGCATTTATGCAGATATAACTGCCTGTGTTTAGGAAACGCACACATTTTTCATTTGAAAATTTTCCTGACACATGGCATGCATCTTTTGCTCTGCCAAGCCAAACAAGTAAGGCGAAAGAGACAAGATATTTGAAAATCTAGTTAGGAGCATCAGCAATAATATTTCTGAGTTGAATAATTGTGGAAACAGATCTTGGCTCCAGAAAAAAGCAGCATGACTGCCATTTTTTTAATTAAGGATTACACTATTTTTTTTTTCCTGTTACAAGTGCTGCGATACCCACTATCAAGTATGGAAGGTCTCAGCAGCTTTACTAGTGTCTTACATGGAAGACAGGAAGACTGCCTAGAAATGTAGACTGAAGACTTCTAAGGATCAATCCTTCTATGAAACAGACGACCGAAATCTTATGCTTTTTCATTCTCTACCACACATTGCTTAAATGCTTCATACAGAAGCATCCATAAAACATCCACATATTAATGTCTGACACAAGATGTCCTGTCACTTCCAGGATGTACACAAAGAATGCATCTAAAAAGGTTTCATAGTACATACCCTTGTTTTGTCAAATAACTCTGATACCTTCAGAAAAAACCTGCACAAAGGAAACAGCTTATATTACAACATTAATTTGATCAGTCTAATTACTTTCTAGAACTCAAAATGTAATCTGTGTCTGGCAATAAACGCTGTAAAGGCACTGCTCAGAACTGTAATTCACAGAACTCTGAGAACATAATAGATTCAAATTGTAGCACTTCAAACACCTGGGAATTGTAGAACTTAAGAAAAGGGACAAACTTAGCATAACAGATGGATGTTTTTTATTAAAGAAGAATTGCACAGTTCCTCAGGGATTCTTTATGCTTCTGTGAATTAAACCCCGAACACCACTACTCTGCTTAACGGTCCTACGCTATTATCAAGTGTCCTTCACTCAAATTTGAATGCACTTTTCCTTACACGGTAAACATGACACATGCCCTACTAGCATGGGAGGCTGAGCAACAATGCAGCACATCTTCCTCAGAGGAGACAATACAAGGGTTCAGCACAACAGCAGACTGAATTTCAGTCAAATCGTACTGTTTTGACAGAAGAGAGGCGTGATTCCTGATAGATCCTAACAGACTACATCAAATCTCAATACTATAATCAAAGTGATTGATATGTAAGCTATCACCACATTTGGAAGTGTATCACTCTACTTCAGGTAAATTAATAAAAATCAGTTAACTTTCAAACTCATCTTCTACCTGTCGTCACACTAACTCTAATAAGCAGACAATAAGTTCACAAGCATCAACATCTTTAAGCTAGTTAACTAACTTTCACTTTCACATACACCAAACTTGATATTCAGGCAAATCATTGAAAAATTAAAGGATAAACATCTGTACATAGAGACCCTCTTCTATTTTCAAAGTTTTAAGGATGTCTGTAGATTCCTTTCTTTTTCTGGCAGTAAATTTGCCAGAACAGCAAAACTGTTTTTCAAGATGTTGGTACAGGGAACACCGACAAAAGTCAGTATATTCAGACTGAGACCTGTTCTTGCTGCACGTATCAAAGCACTTTAAATGCTTTGAAAAAACAACTGGTGAAAGAGTTGGGAATTTTTCTTATCCTGTGAGGACTTTTCCATCTCATCTGTGTAATTTTCTACAAAGTTCAGAAACCAGCATTTTTTTCCAGACAAATATTAAAGCAAAAGTATTAAAGCAGCCTGTTACAGAAACAAAATACTAGAGAAGAAGAATCTCTTCATGTGACACAATTATAACAAATTCTGTTTTTCTCATAACAAGAAAGCTACTGATCTCAGCAGGCTACCGTTAAGACTGCTACTTAGCAAATTGCCCTGTAAGCTATTAACGATATCTTACTTGCATATATCTGTGGAGTCCTGCGTTCCTAATGCATATAACGAAGAACCAATTCTATTATAGTCATCCGCCACATCTAGGAAAAACAAACAAGCAGTTGTTTTACTATTTCATTCCCCCTTCTTTCTGAAAATTTTGAAGTTCCTCTCTTGCTTCAAGAGTGGGTGTTTTTCTAAAAGGAACATGCTTTAACACAAAAGCAGAAATAAAATTTCAATCATGTCACTTGTTATGAAGGATAACTTCACACAATAAACATGGCGCTCTCACCAAATCATGAAGTCTGTAACTTATCTAGGGATATTTAATACGGTTAGCACCTGCTGGGTGAATTTACTGTGTAACTTTGATAGGTTTTGTTTTGGTGGAAGATGAACAAACTCAATGGCTAAACTCTGAATCTAAAGTCTAAAGCTATTTGAAAAAAATCACAGTCTAACAATAATAAGAGTCTGTGTGCTTGAGAGTAGTAAGTTAAATACAAACTCCCAAACTACGAAAATACAGCACTATATGCACAACACCTTTTCTAGCACATGCCTAATTTTCAGGAAACCCTTACCTCGCCAACAAGTGGTCACCAGCTGAAGTAGTATTAGTGTTCAAGCATTTTAAACAATGAAATTAGAAGCAGGGTTCGTAAGAAGGCTGCATATTTTAACTAGTGAGGTACTGCTATACAGTAATCACACAAATCAAATCTTTCCATGAATGGCTTTTTAAAAGAGCTTTTAGTATAAACTCAATGCATGATGAAAATGCTAACAGATCCAAGCAATGAACAGGAAAATATATTTGCTTGTTATTTTTGAAGTTCATTTGCCTTTGAGCAGTTTTTTTTTTTTTAATAAAACAACCTTGTTTTAACAGATTGAGTGGGTCACCTTCCACCCAATTCATTACTCCATACATCCCAAGGGAACCGGTGCAGATGGTTACAGTGAAGAATGGTATTAGGAAGCTACAAACCTCCCTTTCTATTCCTCCTATTTAAACATAAAAATAGATTTTCTGCTGGAAATAGGAAGTCAGTATCTTTGCAAGCCCTGCTCACAAGGTATCCATAAAGTACAGATTGCCCATTTCTAAAACAGGCTTTTCAGGTCACTGCTCTACTCCTCTAGCCAGAATTCCAAAAGGTGCCATTTGTCCCAATTCACAGTTTGGTAAAAGTTGCCAATAAACATCCTAGGTGATTTGCATCCGAAAACCAGTGAAGCTGTGTCATGAGTTTGACCAATCCTTTCCCATTAGATCCTCTACAATCTCATTTCTAACAACTTTCCTGGTTCTACAACCAACGCAAAAGGCTCTCTCAACACCTAAAGTTTGGCACCTAACCACCATGAATGAAGTTCAGTTTTCACTTTCAGAAAGCAAACAAAACACCAAAACCAGTTCAGGTGGGAACTGAATGAAGACACAGGGCCTCTTAGTACGTACTTAAGCCATAATTGACTCTCCCCATCTCCCAGCATGGACACTAAAGCTACAAAAGACTCAGCCTTCATACAACAGCAAGAGAAGCATCCAAAGAGCTCAGTAAAGTCTTGGTTTAATGTCTCATTCAATATCCACTTCAGAGTCCTTACCAATGGAGATTCATAACAGGTTTGTGGCCTGGTTTTGCATGAACTGTATTACCGTAGACAGCAAAGACAGAATCTGTGAATTGCACAAAACTTCAAGAAAGTAGACAGAATCTAGTAGCTCAATTTTGATTTACCTAGGCACAAAAGCTTAAAATCAAGGGCAATAAAGGTCAACTTTTTTCTGGGCTACTCAAAACACAGTAATCCTAAACCAAACACAGTAGTCCTAAACCAAGGATTTTCCCTTTTCTCAATTAAATGCACTGCACTGAAGATGACTATCTAGAGCTTCCAGAAATTACATTAGCTAGCACTCAGCTCAGGAAGAGCAATCAAGAGCCCAGTGGAAAAAACTCACCTCAGTAAGAAAAGAGGCCCTGCAAACCAAGCTACTGAATGTACACATTCCAGTCTCCACTCTAAAAGGCTGAAAAATGGAAACCTTACTTCACAGAATCACAGAATGGTAGGGGTTGGAAGGGACCTCTGTGGGTTATCTAGTCCAACACCCCTGCCAAAGCAGGGTCACCTAGACCAGGCTGCACAGGACCATGTCCAGGCGGGTCTTGAATATCCCCAGAGAAGGAGACTCCACAGTCTCCCTGGGCAGCCTGTTCCGGTGCTCCGTCACCCTCAGAGGGAAGAAGTTCTTCCTCATGTTCAGACAGAACTTCCTCATGTTCAGACGGAAGTCTGTGCCCTTTGCCCCTTGTCCTGTCACTGGGCACCACTGAAATTTGGCAGCATTTGCACTGGCAAAGCTGTAGGTATTCCTGCCTTGAGTGATCTTCAGTGAAACTAGAACTAGAATGGGTTTTTAACAAAAGGAGTGATCCCAGCCATGAAGGCACTCGGGTATTTTAACCAATTCTTCGGTGGTCAAATGCAGAGAGATACTGTTATACAGGATCTTCTCTTTTATTGGTGCTAAGGCTGATTTTGGGGTTACTGGCAAGCAACAAAACATTCCCGTATAGGTAAGCCTTAGAGAAAAGTGGGACCACTCTCACGTTATGCGACACTGCTCTATAAACCAGTGCTCCCATGGCAGGAAGAGACAATCTTCCATCAGATTGTATGGGCTAACATAGGGAAGACAAATCTTGTGTCTAGCACCAGCAGGCCTCCATACTATCCACAACAACAGGGGAAAAAGGGCTTGCACCCTTAG